CAAAACTAATATGGATGATTGAACTAATGAATTGTTCCAGGATATCACCAAGATACACAGAGGAAATATGCAGTGTAAGAAAATCAATTCGACAAAAAAGAATTGCACGGATCATATCATAAGAAAATATCATTAATATTAATGAATTTAACAAACAAAAGAACCCACCTCCAGGAAAGATGGACGAACTTCAATTAGCTGCACAAATGCTGCACAGACCTATTGCAAGTAGAGGTGGGCGATATGTCAGTACCAACAAACCAAAGCTTTAAACAAAATGGCAATACTGCCATTAGACTGCAGAATTAGAAGAAACTCAAGGGTTGCAATTATGAAGCAAAAGAAAACAATTAGTCTAAGCAGAAACAATCATTTCCCTGCATTATATATACAGAAAGAAAGTCTCCATCAGTCTACCTCCTTTTCCTACTTGCAAGGTTAATTTTTCATTTTCTGGGTTCAGGAATAGAAAAGAGCTACTATAAAGATGGATGACAATATGAAACACATGAAAAGCTGGAAAACGCCCCATATATGCATCAACATAAGGACTTACAAAAGAAAATTTAGACAGGCTAAAAGGCATAATACAAGAGGATGATGAGAAGTTATGTACCAATTTCCGGACTTCTGGAGCAGGATCATTTGCCAGAACAAACAAACCTTGAAGGTACTCATCCATGGAAACATATAAAGCCTGCATGTGGAGCAAGGAAATCAAGATATCAGTATTCCAAATCAATGTCCAAACCATGATGCATATGTATAATGTGTGAGGAAGGGGAGAAGAGAACTATTCAGTATATACTTACACCAGGCATCGGCATAATATATTGATTTACAGAACCCAAGGAAAGCTTTCTTAGAGAGGCATGTGGTGACTGGAAAAGCTGTTCATAGAAAACTGGGTCATAAATCAAACCCCAAGATAAAGAGAGGAGAAAGGGCTCATCTGATGCTAGCAAAAGTGCTAAGAAATACACGATTGCAAACCCCAGAACCCAGATATACATTTTTGACCAGTATAAAAAGGTAAAAACATTTCACCTGCAACAATCGAGGAAGGAAAATATTGATGGGACGTTCAGCTAGCCCTGGCACATCCAAATCTAGTACTTGGGGGATATCCTCACAAATCTGTGTCATGGACATCATTGACACCAAGTGTAACTAAATCTAGATAACAATGAACATTTAACCTGTCTAATTGCAACTGAATGTTGCATTTAAGATTAAGTACTCCTGAAGAATGGGTTAGAGCCAACCACTAGAGTTGCCTCATTTGAAAATAGGATGTGGACATACCTTGGACAAGGCATCCATTGCGCCTTCCATGTGATTTAGGTCATTACTGTCCAAACAATTTACAAGAG